TGCTGGGGAATTGGGGGAAGGGGGACAGACAAGTGCTGTCGTTTTTGTTCTTCAGTCTAGTTGTGGAGGACGTCGCTTCACTGGCCCAAGTTGGCACCATCATTGCGCTCTTCCCGGGTGAGGCATATCAGTCGCTGGCTTCTGGATGGCTGCTCACTGCAGCTGCTGGCCGCTCACGCTCCAGCCCCATTTTTAAAAGGACGTTCTCTCTCCCATTAAACTGCCGGGCATTCCACCCTCCTTCAAGATGAGGTTGGGCAGGTAAAAGCCACATCTGCCAGACTCCTTTGTGGTCAGAGTCCCAGCTGCGACTTAGGCCCCTGCTGCATTTGTGCGAGACTGGAGGTGGCAGCCCCTGTCTGCCGCCCCTGACTGTGCTTGCCGCCCCCAGCAGGGTTGACACATGTCTGTCGTGCCAGGGAGGCCCAGTGTTGGGTGCCCATCAGTCGGAGCTTCTTGACCTGAACCCCTCACCCTGGGCCACAGCTCTGGGCGGCTTGTCACACAGGTCCAGGTGTTAGGGCCATGGGTGGGGGCTCTGGGTCCTCCCATCCCCCCCGGCAGCATCAGAAACAGGAGGTGCCTTGGTGGGTCAGTTCTGTATTTTTCTGGAAGTCATTCCATGAGGCTCAGTCCAAAACCAGGTCCATCAGCCCCTGCAACATTTGTTAAGCCCCAAATTTCCTGGAGAAAACATCTGCCTGATTAAAACCACCGAGTGGTTTCTGTTTTCAGAATCGGACCATGACATTTTCCCTCAGACTCCCTCTAACTGCAGTTTCAGATGACAACTGCTCGAAAAAGAAAGCTCTGTCACAGGTAAAATGAACATGTTTAAAAACAACCTCCAATCTCTCTCCTCCAAACCCATTCCTTTCCCAATTGCCCTGTGTCAATGGCCCCAGCTCATCAATTCCTCAAACCCAAAGCCCAGGTCAGCCTTAACTCCCATCCTTCCCCAGCCCCAGATCCCCTGCAGCTCTAAGCCCTACTACTGACCTCTGACCCACATACACACCTCACTCACCCTCCCCACATCACCTCCCCAGGTCACCACCAGTCTCCTAGATCGTCTACTCATCCCACCCCATCTGTCCTCCATGTGGCTTAGTCCCTTGAAGGTATGTGTCCAACCCCATTGTACACACATCACACATGCATACATGTACCCATGTGCACACACATCACCTACATACATGGGTATGCACGTATCACATGCACACATACCCATGCATGTTCATACATCACCTACACGCTGGTATGCCCACACACACATGCCATTACATGTACCCATGCATGCTCACATGGGTATGCACACATATGCACGCATGCATCGCATGTACCCATGCATCGCATGTACCCATGCACACTCACAGCCCATATGCACACACACACACCACTTCCCTACCTGATATCCTCTTGTGCCTTCTGCAGAACTCCCAATCGCCAATCCCCTTCTTTGCTAACAGGTCACTCTGTTCTATGTAGAACTGTGCACCACTTCATAAAAGGCATTTCCCAGCCTCCCTTGCAGCTAGACATGACCACATGACATGCCTCTGGCTAATGAGGGAAAGAAGTTGCTGATGTGTCTCCCTGGAGAGCTCGCTAAGGGACATATTTGACGCCATGCCCCTTCCTGAGCCCTCAGTCCTGCCACCTGGACCATGGACAGTGCTGGTGGATGTGGCCAGGATGAAGGCCAGGTGGACAGAGAAAAGGAACCCTCGCTCAGCCTCGGGGACTGCTATGCTGTCTTTGTCTGTGCCACCTGTCAGGCTTCTACTACACGCAGCCAAGCCCCGTCCTGAGGGCCTTGGCCGCACAGTCTGCTCCGGCCTCAGCCCCCACAGCCACAAGGCACTGTCCCACCGGTCACCATTCACCAAGGCTCCCAGGGCTGGGTCTGTCCCAACACAGCACACAGTGCTCCTTTCAAGCTCTCAAGGAAAGGAACAAGGGGAAGACAAAGGAACAGGTAAAAGAAGGAGTGAATAAGCAAAGTCTGTACTTATTTAATAAGAAAACCGCTTCTTTAAAAAAATAGTGTCTTTGCATGCTGAGGTGGACAGAGTTTACGCTGAGCTGAAAACAGATTGCGGCAGGTTCTCCCTGTGAGGGAAACTGAGAATGATGTGGGTCTCGAGGTCCTGAGGTAACGATGCCATATCTCGGCGCTCCAGTCTCGGGGAGGAGCGGGGCCCACAGCAGCAGTGTCAGCTCCGGGCACACACGTCGTGGCCAAGTCCAAGACGCTCCGCGGGGCCCGCCTCAGTCGCTGTCTCCGTCCCCTTCACTGCCTTCCTGGGGGCTGGGAACCTGCAGAAGCAGAGCGGACGAGACAGCTGTGGGGAGCTCGCTGCCCAGGCGTGAAGGGGGCTATCCGTGGCCGGGCTCAGTGGTGCTGACGTCCTGAGCCACCCTCCAAGCCTATCCCGCTGGGAATGAAGGCTGGCATGTCTTCTTGGCCTGACGCCTCGTCTTTCTCTCAACTGTCTCAAGAACCTGATTTGAATGGGGAAAGCCAGGAGCTGGGGACAAGAGGGGGTCTTTACAGGGCTCCTCCAATTCCCAGGGGGACATAAAACTGGACTCCCTCAAAGTTGGACAGTGCAGACCCCTCAGCAGGGTGTGGGACAGCAAGTGGTCAGCAGTTTCCATTAGCGGGACTCACGCCTCAGGTCCAGCCTGCACACAGGCTCCATCTGGCCTCACAGTGCTTGGAGAAATTACAACATAACCATCAACACTTAAAACCTGGAAGAGTTCACATAAAACTCTGGAATGCCAGTTTCTCTTGAAAAAACATTCAGCTCTGACCACACGAGGCCCACCCTCCATGCGGCCACCGCTGGCTGGCGCTGGGCTGCTGTGGCCCCTTTAGCCTGAACAAAGGCCCCGTTTCTGTCCCCACCCATCCCGATCACCTCTGTGGCACTGGCGGTCGCTCCCCATCCAACCTGCACGCCTGCTGCTCTCACACCTACACGCACGAGCTCACAGCCCCAGGTGTGCAGAAGGGCAGTATTTCCCCCAGATACCCAGACAACGAGAAGACGCCTCCCAGAGCTCCTGGTAGGGATGTCACCCTCTGAGCACCCGCTGCCCAGCACAAGAGCATGGGCCTTGGGGACACCTCTCAGCGCTCCAGGTCAAGAACACTGAAGAAAAATTTCAACTTCAGACTGCTTTTAGCTCTAGTGCCTCAAATCCTGCACGTTCCTCTAAAACACCGCTGGAAGTGAACTCATGAACGAGTCACACTTGGAGCCAGGTCCCTAGCAAGCCTGGCCCAGCGCTTGTGAGCAGAGCCACCTGACTGGGAACCCACTGTGCACACGGGCTGCAGCGCGGCCTGGGAGGGCAAGCAGGACGCCTGGCACTGAGCATCCCGGGCACCTCCCCTCATGGGACCCCATGTGCTGGAGTGGGGTTAACAACAGACGCGCACTAACTGATCAGCAGTGTCAGCCCAAGGACATCCTACAGTCACCTCCATGTCGCAAACGGAAAGACTGGCCACCTAGTGTGTCCCTTGCCCAGGGTCTCTAAAGGGAGTGGGGAGCAGGTGCAAGGCACCATTTGGGGTCAGCAGCCACCCGGTCCAACGCCCTGGCCCTGTTCCTCCCACTGCTGTGTGACCTTGGGGGAGTGATGTACCTCTCTGTGCCTCAGCCTGCTCATCTATACATCAGGCACGATAACACCAACGTGTAGTGGATTAGAAGCGTAGCCACAGACGACATATAGGTAAGTGCTTAGCCAAGCTCCTAGAAGGACCTGGGCCAGCCCCGTGGCCCCAGCCCCCAGCCCCGTGGCCCCAGCCCCCAGCCCCACCTTGGCACCGGGGCTGGCTGCCGCCTGGGCAGTGGCGCTGAAGTCATGCACGGGCAGGGTGCTCAGCCACTGGGCCATGGACCTCTCGTGACGCTCGGTGCTGACGATCGTGGGGTAGATGTGCTGCTCCTTGAAGGCAGCGACCTCCGCCTCCTCCCGTGCCCAGTCCAGCGGCTCATGCAGCCCGTCACTGCCAAAGCGCCGGTTGTACTTCTCGAAGTGCACACGCTCCAGCACCAGGCCGAGCCCGGGCGCCTTGGGCACGTCCACCTTCGCCTCCCCCCAGCTGCGCTCTAGCACGTCCTCTGGGGCGTAGCCCTTGACGATGGCCACCACCAGGCCCACCATCTTCCTGATCTGGTGCGTCATGAAGCTCTGCCCCTTCACCTTGATCACCGCGAACTCCATGCCATCCCGCTCGAAGGGCTCCTCGCAGAACATGTCCAGGATGTAGCGCTGGGCGCTGGGCTCCCGGGGCCCCTTCTGTGAGGTGAAGTTGTGGAAGTTGTGGGTGCCCTTGTAGCAGGCCAGCAACCGGTTGACCTGCCTCAGCGTCTCGGCACTCAGCCGATAGGTCTCGTCCTGCACATCATGGTCCTTGTGTGCAAAAGCAAAGGTGGGCAGCATATAGAAGTATGTCCTGGCGTCACACCTGTTCTTGGAGTTGAAGCCACCAGTGACCCGCTTCAGTCCTGGGGGAGGAGGAGCAGAGAGAGGCTTCAGACAAGTACCCCAACCAGCTGGAGCCAGCTGCGTGCGCTAAACCCTAAACCTCCATCTCAGAGCCAGACGGCCCACCACAGCAGAGCCCACGTTTGTCAGAACCCAGGCTGCCGAAGGGGCGGAGCCTGTGCTCGCCCTGCCCCGCGTGGACCTTGCTGCTGTTCAGCAGAGGGACTAGACACCACCGTGGGCCAGCGTGAGTCTGACCCAAGCCCGCCATTGGAAGTTGTTCTGCAGATGCAGGCAGAGGCAGCAGTGTGTGTAACAGCAGGAAACAGAAAGGAAACAGAAGTCCAGCAACTGGAAAATGATCAAATATATTCTAGAACAGTCGTAGGATGACACAGACCAGGAAGGTCTGCAGGAGCTGAGGCTGGGTCTCCCCCAAGACGCCCAGCGCCTCCAGCACCGTAGCACCCAGTAGGTGCTCGATAAATATTTGACTGTTAAGTGAAAAATAAAGAGAGAATGAAGAACCCTAAGCAGGGGGATTCCACTTGTGAGGAAAGCAGAAACGTATGTGCATGCCTGTATTTGTATGGAACGCCTCTGAAGAGCAGTGAGAACTATTAGCTGGACGACAGTTTCCTCGCACAGAGACTCGCAGGCACCACTGGCCCTGGAGGTCCACCAGGTCACGTGGGTTCAACCTCACAGCGAGTGTGACTCAAAGCCCAAATTGGTGTCCCATGTCCCAGAGCCGAATCAGGGCCGTGCCCTTCCCGGCAGCCGTGTGACTTGGGGGAGTGATGCGCCTCTTGCTCAGGCACACAACGAGGACACCAGTGTGGGGTACAGCATCGCCGGCTCAAGGCAGCAGCTGCGCTGCCCTCTGTCCCTGTGTCTCCAGTGCCGTGTTGAGTTTGGGGTAACTTTAGTTTTCTTTTCTTGTCTTGGGATCAAGTTTCAGTTTCATCAACTCTGAGCATCATAAGTCTGCTGTGTGCATGTGATGTTAGTTGTTCAGGATGTCACTGATGTGGAAAGGCTTAAAGTGCTGGCAGACACCCATGTCGCTGGGCCACCACAGAAACAGTGCCAACTCCTCAAGCACTTGTGTGCGGGATGTGGTGTGTCTCAGCAGAACTGGGAGGGGTCTATGGGAGACACCAGAATATTCCCATGGAAACGAGTGGCATCAGAGGGGACTTTACTCTCGGAGGAGTTAGAAAGGAGGGAGCTACCCTCCTGTGGCAAAGAAAGACCAGTAGCAAAGAAACAGGAGAATGAAACTGACCCTGTGTTCCACTAGGAATCAACTCAAAGTGGGCAAGGTGACCAGCACCTAGGATTAGCGGCTTCGCGTTAAGTGTCCTGCTTACGACCTGCAGCCATGCATTCACGGCAGCTTTCCCTGCAGCAGCCCCAAACTGGAAACACATATGTCCTTCAGCAGGTAAAGGGAAACACCACTGGTGGGTGCCGGTGTAATGGGACAGCACACAGTGGTAAAGAGGACCAAACTGGATACACGGTTACGTGAAGGCATCATTCACTGGGCTCCGTGGAAGAAGCCAGACAAGAAGAGTACACGATATATGATTCCATCTATATCAAACCCTAAAAATACAGACTAATCCACAGTGACGGAAAGCAGATCAGTGGTTGTTGGAGGAATGAGGGGCGTGCCAATCTCCTGCAGTGGAAGGTTCACTGTCTCGACTAGGATGGTTTCCCAGCTGTACACATGCACAAAAGTTCCTAACTGTATACTTAAATACGTCGTTTATTATACATGAATTCTACTTCAGTTTTAAAAAGTAGTTTAGAAACTGTTAACTGGCTGCTTAAAGAAAAATACTTAACAATGTAGTTAGTGTGGTGTTTGTAAAATACATCCCCGGAAAGCACAAAGGGAGAGACGTGACTGTTATAGTTTTTAGACTCCACACAAAGCGGTGTGACTTCACTTGAAGTAGATGGTGGTGAGTCAGAGATGGGTGCTTGAACCCAGGGACTAGCAAGCACTGGCCAAAAACATGGCTGTTTTTATTCAGTCCATGAGCTGAGAATGAAGGGTAGTTTAAAAAAAAAAAAATAGAATATGCAACAGAGATCATAAGCTATGTGTCTACAAAGCCCAAAATATTTCACTATCTGGCCCTCTACAGAAAAGTTCACCAACTCTCACATTAAACCCCAAAGCAATCACTAAAATCCACAGTGAGTACAGCTAACAAGGCAACCAAAGTGATCATCAAATGGAATTATAACAAATATCAATTAATCCAAAAGAAGACAGAAAAAGAAGGGGAACAAAGAACAGAAGGGACAAAGAGAACCATGGCACAGTCTGCAGCGGCCATCCCAACTACCACACTAAACATAAGCAGCATAGACACACCACTGAAAAGGCAGAGACAATCAGACTGCATTCTTTTTAAAAAAAAATCAGATGTAAAAATCCTAGTTATCAGGCCCGTTATAAAAGGAAATAATTGCCCATTTTAACTTGATCAAACCTGGACTTTCATATCCAGTGTTTCATTAAAACAAGGCAAGTGTAGCATCAAGGGGCTGCAATTCCAGGACTTTCCAAGGCTGTCCCTTTTGAGGGAGGCGGGAATGCTGACTCACAGCCATTCCACCAACTGCTATGACAACTCTGTTGTCTTCACTCCACACCAGAGAAGTTTGGTGAAAGAAGAAATTTTGAGTCTTTCTGCAAGATGAGCCACCAGGTGCAGCCCCAGTGTGCAAGGCTTACCCAGTATCCGGATGTGAGAAGGAAGGTGGCTGTTGATCTTTGCTAAAATGTCGTCAATCAGCCACACCTTCAGGGACACAACCTGGCCGGCCGCGGATACGCCCTGCAAAGGAAGCACAGGGCTGGAGGGGCAGCTGGGCCCTGCTCTGTGAGCAGCACTCTGCGAGGCGGTCTCTTGAACAGAAGGACCACCACACGTTACGTCTTTTCCCGGAGGAGTTCTGTTTGGAAAGGCATCTGAAGGGAACAATCAGGGGCAAGAATAACACGCTGTGTACCAGGAGGATGAGCACAGCGTACCTTATGAAACGGTATGACTTTAAAGCCTAGCAAAAACACAAACTAGGGGACAAACACAGGGCATCATGTAGATGGCAAGTGAAGTCCCACCTCTAATGACTCTCAGCGACTTGGGAAAAATAGAAAATGCAGCTGAGAGGACAGAACTGTGAGGCAGAGCAAGAAGAGGTGACCCATCTAGGTCACAACAGTTGTGACCCTGGGATGGAGGGAACAAGGGCAGTCAGAGGACACTGAGATGGAGGCATGGGGGAGATCAGAGGATGGTGACATGGAGGGGACAAGGTCAGAGGATGATGAGATGAAGAGACAGGGCAATCCGAGGACAGTGACATGGAGGAACAGGGCCTGCGGCACAGGTTCCCACCTTGTCTGTGCGGGCGCACCGCTGGAACGACATCTTCCTCATGTCCTCGCCGTGACTTTCGGGAATGCAGCCCGCCTGAACCAGGGCGGACACCAGGTCGTCTTCAATGGTCTTGAACTGCGAGGACCCAACATTCCTCTGAGGAAGGGAGAACAAGTGGGTTCTCACTCAGTCACTACCCACAAGTCAGGGGCCAGGGGCCGCGGCCTGGGCTGCTCCAGGTAGGGGCAGGCATGGTGTGCCCACACCCACAGCATGGGGACCGCACCTGTGGCCACGGGGAGACCCTGCAGCTCACTCCCCTCCCAGGGGAAGTAGAAAAGTCACCTGAGGGTACCCACAGTCTCTAGAAATCCCCACCCCAGGCAGTCGGTGAAATAGCCAACAGTGGGTGTTGTTTCCTCCCAGCTGGTCAGGTCTAAGCCAGCACCATCCTGCTGCTGGAGCCCCATATGTCTGCAGCACTCAGGGCAGGGGGCCCTCCCTCAGCACTGCCAGCCAGGGCTGGGTTTGGCATCCCTGGCTTTTCCTAAGCCCGCTGGTTCCTGTAGAGACTGTACAACCTCTTGGGACTAACGTCCGCCAGGGAAGGACACCCACTGCTTCCAGAACCATCTCTAACACTATCCCTGCCGGCTTGCCCTAAGCATAACCCTGGGCCTGCAGGACCCTGTGACATCAGTGACACCTCCATCCTGACTGCTCTCAAAGAAAGCCTCTCCAACAGGCCTGCGGGTGCTTCGCCAAGACTCACCACAGTAGGGAAGCCCCTCCCCAAATCGATAGCCTTCCCACTGCAATCCCATTCCTCAGCAGAAAGCCACAAACGCTCAAGTGACAGGAACAGATGTTAACAAACAGGTAAATCTCAATCTGTTCTTCTGTCAGCCCCGTGGGCTACTGTCCCTCTCCACCTCCCCCCTACCCCCGAATGGGGAAACTGAGGCAAACAGATGATGGATGTTTTCTCAAACTTTTTGAGACAGTACTTAAGGCAAAAGTGCACATAATCAAAACCAACCCCCAAAAAGCATTCAATCACCCACAAGGAGCAGCAGAGAGAGTCTGCTGTTCCTACAAACACTTAGGGCCACGCCAGACAGAAGCAATGCTTTCCAAACCATTGTCCCAATCTACCAGTGGTTGTGAACTTAAGTTTCACGTGGGTGCAACCTACACTTTTTTAAAAAAGAATAAAATAGGATACAAAGTATCTTATGACTACTATTATTCACAGTAAAAGTTGTAACACTGGGCAAGCTTAGGCAGGCATTATTTTCTTAAACTTGCTTCAGTTAAATACTCTGTACACAGCAGTGAAAGTCTTTACTGGGAGTCAGCCCTCCAGAGAGTTCATTCAAACCGAGTTGAAGGAACAGGAGAGTCACGTGCATTTGGGAGCACCTTTCAGCAAGGATCAAACCCACAGATGGGCTTTGTGGAGAACTGTAACGGGCGCCTGCTCACCCCCAGGCTGTCACTACATGGGTCTGACAGACACTACCAGCAGATGTCCTGGCTTCTACAGCCACGCTCGGTGTACAGCACCAGTAAGCCTAGTGAGTCTTCAGGCTCCAGAGGTCAGTGCTGTGACCCCCCCCCCATCTCGAGAGGGGGAAACCGAGGCAGCAAGCGCTTCCATCACGTGCCCAGGGCCACAAGGCTGGTGAGCAGCAGAGCTGGGCCCTTACCCACCTTGGGAGGCATGGGAGAGCCCCGGGGCACAGCATCTCCGTGGGTGGAGCGGGGGTCAAAGCGGCTTGGATTCCAATCTTGATCTTGTTTGATGGGCCCCCGCATGACAACTTGGAAAAGCAGGTTTTCTGCGGTGTCCTGAGGCGGCCTCACCCAGGTCCCCAGAGACTAGGTGGGGTGGGGGTGGGGGTGGGGCTCACCTGCATGCCATGGTAGCCCTTCCCGGAATAGGCCATGAGCAACACGATCTTCCGCTTCGGCAGTTTCTTCTGTGGCTCCCCGTCCACGCAGCTCTTGAGCCTTTTCGTCTGCGGCTCGCTGTCGTCCCAGATCCTGGCTCCGCCCTGCCAGCCACAGCGCGCCTTCTTGTCCTGCTCCTGCCTGGCGCCCACGGGAGCGGGGACCTTCGCGTTCCCGGCCATGGCGGACAAACTGGAAAGGCAAGGGCGGCGTGAACAGGACAGAAGCTGCGGAGCTGGGGGGACGGTCGCAGCCCAGAGCGGCACACGCCCTGCGCCGACCGCCGAGCGGAGGAGTCCCGGCGTCCGTACCTCTGGGCGGGGACAGCACTTAGGGACTCGGGGCTCGGCCGCGCGCCCCGCGAGCTACCCCGGGGCTGGGACAGGGCGCGGTCATTACCCGAGGAGGCGCCGTCCCAGGAGCGGCGTCCACGGTCCGCAGGCTCTCCGCAAGGCCCCGGCCGCCGCCCGCAGACTGGGGACCCCCATGCAAGGCCCGAGAGGCGGGGGAGCGCGCGCCCGACCCCTGACCTCTCCGGGACGCCCCGGCCCGAGCCCCCTGAGCCCTAACCTTTCCCGGGACCCACCACGCTCCAGCCGCGCCCGCGGCTGACCTGCCACGTCTCCTGAACCCCCAGGCTGACCTCTGACTTCCCCGGTCCCCTCTAGCCCTCCCGTCTGGCCCGGCCGCCTTCCCCTCGGGAGTCGGGGAGACCCCGGCCAACCCCGCGGGGACTACAAGGGCGCGTCCCCACCCAGCCCCACTCACGACGCTGTGGACAGAGCCCCAGCCAGACCACGTGGGCGAAGACGGAAGCGGAGCTCACCGTCGGACGGCGGCCGGGCGCGGACAAAAGCCCTGGTTGGGGCGGGGCTTGGAGGAGGGGCGGGGCGGGGCTTGGCACGGGGGACGGAACTGGGCCGGGCGAGACCGGGCACGCTTTAAGGCGTGGTTTGGGCGGAGCTTGGGGCGGGGCGAGGCTTCCCCGCCGCAGACGCCAAGCTGGTTGGAGACCGCGGTGAATGCGGCTGCGCACGACTCCTTAGCGAAAACAAATCGTCCTCACGGTAACGCTTACGAGGCTCTCTGTCCGGGTTACACGTGTTAACGCATTCACGTTTAGGGAGACGGATAACAACACCCATCAGTCACATAACAGTGCGTTATAAAGTAATAAATGCAAAAGACGAGTCAGGAATGCTGACGCCGGCCGCAAGGTGGGCGAACTCGCGAATGTGATGCCCAGTGAAAGAAGCCAGATGCAAAAGCCACGTGCCATGTGATTCCATGTGTGTGAAATGTCCAGAACAGGCAAATCCAGAGGCAGAAAATGGGTTCATGGGTGCGGACACGGCTCCGTTCGCTCAGCAGTCAGGCCTAGTGGAAAAAGAGCTCACTTGTACTTAGTGACCCTCTGCAGAAGGGAAGCAAGAACCACCTCCAGGCTCCAGGAGTGAGGAAAGTCAAGGTCACCTGTGCGACCTGGGGAGTTCAGGTAGCTGAGCAGCATTAGGAAGCATCTGGCCACCTTCACACAGAGCACCCCCACCTGTACACAGAGCACCTCCACACCTGCTCCCTCCTCAACCCCACCAGCTACAGCAGGTGACCTTGCTTGCATCTCCATTCTGTGGAGGGTAACCTGATGCCTGTGGGGTTGGGACAGGCGCCAAGGGGGCCAAAGTTTGAGGTGGGGCAGGTGCCTGAGCCCAGCCTTCCTGGCTGAGGGGCCCTGGTGGGCCTGGGCACGCGGTGAAAGTGCAGGGGACTTTGAGGTTGTCCTGCATGGTCCCTGCACCCCCCAGGCCCAGCACTCCTGGGCCTAACCCTCACCGTCAGGCTCCTGCGTCAGGCTCCTGCGGGACGTTAACAGCAGCTGTATGCATAATTGCTAACACTTAGAAGCACCGATACATCCTTCAGTAGGTGACGGATAAGTAAACTGTGGTGCATCCAGACAGTGGAGTATTATCCAGCACTAGAAAGAAGTGAGCTCTCATGGAAGAGACGTGGAGGGACCTTAGATGCACATGACCGAGTGAAAGGAGCCAGCCTGAGAAGGCTGCACTGTGTGTGTGATTCCAACTCTATGACATTCTGGGAAAGGCAGGACTACGGGGACGGTGGAAAGATCAGGGATTGAAGTGGGGGATGAACAGGCAGAGCACAGAGGGCGTTTAGGGCAGAGGAAGGACGCTGTGTGACACCATAGTGACAGATACGCGTCATTACGCATTCGTCCAGACCCACGGATTGTACACTATGGACTCTGAGTGCTTGTGCTGGTCAGTGTAGGTTCAATTGTAGGGGTCAGTGTAGGGATAACAAACGTAACCCCCAATGCAAGGTGGTAGTAACAGGGGAAACTGAGGTAGGGGGAAGAGGGGTGCATGGGAACTGCACTTTCTGCACAACTTTTCTATAAAAATAAGGCCTGTTAATGTCGCACTAGCACAATGCCCTGATTGTCTTCACCCCCTTTGGGCGTTTCTTCCTGTTACTTATATATAGCAGGAGCTCCGCAGTGGACAGGGCTCCCCAGAGCACAGCCTTTCCTGTCTGCAGAGATGAGCGTTTGCACTTCAGGAAGCCAGACTGGTGCAGGCCCACCGGGACCGCCTTCCGAGACCCGCCTCCCACTTCCTCTACTGCTACCTCTCTATGAACTTGCAGTTCACATTGTGGTTAGCCTTTTTGGTAATTTAATGTTATTTTTAACTTATCAAAACATTATGTAGTTGAAAAATATGCAAACCCTACCACTCAACATTAGAAAGAGAAACCACCCAATTAAAAAATGGCCAAAGGACTTGAACATTTTTCTAAAGATCTAGAAATGGCCGACAAGCACATGAAACGTTGCTTGAGGTCACTGATCATCATGGACATGCGAACGCTCACCCTGGTGAGTGCAGAGTAACAAGGTGGGGACTGACCAGCATCGAGGAGGATGAGAAGAAAGTGGAAACCTCCCGCACTGTGGAGATGGTGTGCCATGTGAGCTGCCTTTCTTCCCGCGGTGACCCCCAAGGCCGGGTGAGCAGGTTCTGCTGGGACACGGCGGGGGCACACGAACACAAGCCCCCGGCCTGGCCCTGGGTGTTTGGTCCCTAAGCTGAGCCCGGCTGCTGTGCGTGACAGGGCCAAACTCCAGGTGACAGGAGGCCAGAGTCACAAAGCAATCATCAGTAACACCACTCAACAATTCCAGAGGTTTATTTCCTTAAACTGATATTACACAATTTAACACAACTGGGAGGGTCACACAAAATTGCTTTTAAAGTCGATGAGGGGTCGAGTGCTGCCTTGTGGAGCAGGATCGGCTGGTGGCACATCCCGGGGGCCGGGGCCCCAAGCTCATCCTGGGCACAGTGGGCACACTCGGCTGCCACTAAATGAGGGACTGGGCAGCTGCTCAAGGCCCCTACCATGGAGCCAGCCGACCATAAAGCAATAAATAGGAACTCGTTCCATGCAGCAAGGAACAAATAAAGTCACCAGGTGACGAGGAAAGAGTCACAGGGCTTCTCCGTCTAAGTCCAAGCACAAGGCAGTATTTCAAGTATTGCAGAGAAACATGTGCATCTGTCTCGGTCTGTGGGGTAGACCTTACCTCCCTGGCTGGGTGCCTGGACTCACCTGGGCTTCCTCTGCACTCTTGGGGGTACATTCGAGGGGGCTGAGCAGAGCTAGGCAGAGAGGAAAGGCCCCCTGGAACCCTGATGGTGGGCCTCCCTCTGACTCCCTGCTGGCAGCCAGGACCTGGGGTGTGGGAGGGGCGGGGGGGGGTGCAGAATTTGACATAAAAACCTACTGTGAAAGCTGGAGGGGAGGTTTCTGTACAAAACACTCTCCCTCACCTGCCCACCATCTTCAGGGGTCTGGCTGCCCTAACAGGGCGGGACAGCAGGCCAGCCAGCCACAGGCAGAGCACATGCACCCGGTGTCACCTGCCTTCTGTCTCAGCATCCTTGCTGAGGCAAAGGCCAGGCCTGCTCCTCCCCCACTCTTGCCATACAAACGTCTTAAAACACCTACGAGTTTTCTTCTTAAAAAAGAAAAAACAGCTGCAGAAAGTAAGACACATCTTAGGAGTAAAGTGTGAAAGACTGCCATGTCTGTTCTGGATTTAGAAAGCTCGGTGCTTCATACTGTGTGTCCCTAAAAGGACATTTAAATAAGACGGCTGTGCCTCCCGGGGGAGGGCCGGGGCAGCAGGCTCAGCCTCAGGCTCACTGCTATGTATATATGTATATATGTATATGGATGTGTGCAACGGCCGGGGCTGAGCGGGCAGTCCCGGCGCCAGTCCGCCTGCATAAAGTGCTTGGTGATTCACAAAGCTGGGTGGTGGTCTCAGGGAAGGAGAGGGGGCCATGAGCCCGCACCTTTTTCTGGGCGGGGCCCCTGGGCAGGTCTGGCGGCTTTGGCTTGAGTGGGTCCCTGCTTGTCCTCAGCAGGGCTACGCTGGTCTGGCAGGGGTGGGGGAACACCCATATGTCCCCACCTGCCATTGAGGCAGCCGGGGGACTGGCCTGGGTTGAGGTTCTGTGAGGGCCCTCCAGGGCCCTGAAGCCCAGTGCCAGCCAGAGCCCGGAAACGGAGATGTGGCTGGAGACCTGGCTGTGGACACAGGGTGTGGATGCGGTCCTTTCCCAGGCCGCAGGCTTGTCCCTTCCAGCTGGCCAGCACGCAGCCCCAGCCATGGGATCAGCAGAGAAGGTCCAGCCCCTGGGCATGGTGGGCTGGGCTCCTGGGAGGTCAGGCACAGATGCCGGTCAGCAGGGCCGAGAGTCTCCGCTCAATGCACAGCTTGCCTGTAGGTGGAAGGGCCCGTGAGCGATGCCCACTCCCCCCCCACCCTCCGCCCAAGGTGGCGGGCACTCACACTTGGCGATGTTCTCCACGTCTGCCTGGTCCGTGAGGAGCTGCTGCAGCCCCTCCATGAGCAGCAAGGCCTTGTGGTAGCGCTGGACACAGTCCTCTCGGCGGTGGAACATCTCGTCCAGGGCAGCCGACTGCACCTGCTCGGGAGGGGCGGGGCAGCATGTGAGGTCCGAACAGATGCTCATGTGGCCATGGGCAGCTGGGAGCCACAGGTCAGACACGCGGCCAACCCCACCCTAGAGTGGTCAGTGGTTACCCCTACAGAGGAGGCAGGCTTCTGGAACTTCTGATCAGTGTGCATTTTAACTACACAAATGAATGACCCTGCCTCTGAGGCAGCGCACCGAGCAGGCCAGGCTTGAGCTGGGTGCCTGCGTCAGTCCCTTCTGGAGGCCGCCTCGCCTGCTAAGAGGCTTGGAAAGCAGGCGTCTCATTTAACAGTTGAGGAAACTGAGTCTCAGGGAGGGTGTGGCCGGGGACGCACCTTCCCGCCTGCCCCTACCGTGTGCACAGCGTGGCTGAAGATGAGCTTCTCAGCGGTGACGCTCTGGATGCGGTCCAGGAGCCGCTGCTTATCCAGGAAGAACCGCTGCAGCCGCAGGCTCAGGCCTTGGCAGGACATCACGCTGGCCTTGTATAGCTCGTTCAGCTTACGGACCACTGTGGGGGCAGCCGTCAGCTTGGCTGGGGGCAGCCGTCAGCTTGGCTGGGGGCAGCCGTCAGCTTGGCTGGGGGCTCTGCTCCGGGACGCACACTGGGCCCTCCTGTCCCC